AAAATTATAAAAAAAATGTATTTCTTATTGATAAAAACACATGGACCAGTCACAACTGTGGTGTTTGGCTTAAAATGGCCATACAATAACATTTTAGGTTCAGGATTTCAGGGGAGGGGATTGAGGGAAATTAAATTCATGTTTAATCATGCTTTAAATTAAAAAAAATAATAAAAAATTGAAATTTTGACTTTTTTGAGCAAAAAACTGTCTCCTCCCCCATTTTCCCATCATAAAACAGCCTGAAACAGTAGAAGCTGTTGACACCACATAGCCAGAAGTTGAGGAAACAGCCAACATACACAAGAAATAAAACAACAAATATAGTTTTCAAATCTCATCTGAAGTGTTAAAATCTGTCTTTCCCCAAAAGAACTAAAATCCTTAAAAGAATGAAATCAAGGAAGCTGAACTTCCTCCTCTCTCACGACCTTTTTCTTAGCATGTAGGTTTGTGTTGTGCCTTTTGATTGACTGCTTCAATTTGTCAGACTGGAATTCAGCCACAGATCATACTAACTGACAGATAACAGCAAACCTGGCAGCATATAGATGCCAGATGCAGTTATGAACAGCAAGCTGAATATACATTATGACTTGTGCTGGGCAATAAAAGCCACTCTGTGTGTCGCCAGTTGAATTCAGTCGCAGTAGGAAGTGTTCAGTTTGTGTTGGTGTAATACAGCTGTCTGAGAGGGCACAGCAAATCAATCAAGGTAAAATGACACTGAACTACATGCTGCTTTGTTTTCCTGTAATTCCCATGTATGTATTTGAATCCAGAACTACTTGTGTACCAAGACGTGATGTAAATACATTGAAGGGCTTTTGCTGAAAACTCCAGATTGTAAATAGTGTCACAAATGACTTTCATATCATGAAAATCTGACAAAGTTTAAAATATCTGTAATTGCTCTCTCCCCTGTGGCTCAGTGCAGGTTCAGTTGCTGCTTATTATCTAAGAATAGAAGCAAACATTTTCCGCATATTTAACTGACTCCCCATGAGACAAATTATTAAAATACTGCAAGATGTTTCTCTCTCTCTCTCTCTCTCTCTCTCTCTCTCTCTCGCTGACCATGCACTGTCACTGTTCTGTACAAGTTTTCTTTGTATAATCATAATGGACAGCTGACACAGCCTCATAAAATGTTTCTCTGCCCACAAAGTGCACAAAATGATGGAAAATCACCACAACGCATGAGCTGCAAGAGAAATCCCTCTCACCTTTTCCTCAGTCTTCAGCCGGACAGTGAAAAAGCAGACAGCGAGACAGATTAGAGGAGACACAGGAGGGAAAGCTGTGTTTGGAGTTAACCACTAAACTCTTTCTGGACAAAGTGTTAGCCCTGCAGTGCCTTCAAACTGATGTTATGAGATTTGATTTAACTTGTGGGAAAGTTCCAACAACCCCCCCCCCCCCCTTTTGTTTTTAAGCTCTGGGAACATTCTCTTATGGGTGGGAAAAAAATAGCAAGTTTTTAATGCTATAGAGGAGGCTTGCCAAATTGGGGCCACACTGCCTGTGGTTAAAAGCTGCTGCACTCAACGTTCAAGAATAGATACTGTACGTGCCATTTATTGGACAAATTTATTTAGTGTGTATGTATTTAAGTGCCGTATATCAGCCGATACGTGTAGTCAAAACATCTGCTCTGGCCTTATGGATAAGATTTAAGGATAACATGTTCCTGTTTTGATTATGAACAGTACCATATATGTACAGAAGGTCCAGCAAAGTGGCCTGTATCTCAACTGAATGTGGATGAATTTGTGGCGATAAGAATTATAAACATCTTTGCTCTATAAGTGGTATATGAGTGTTTCTGTCAAGCTGTAAATTTAAATGTGAATCAGTCTCTGCAAGCGTGGCGTCACAGCCATGGGATCAGACCGGAGAGGGGTTAGAGAGCAGGGTTTTGTTTTACCTGATAAAGAGCAATAGATGAAAAAAACTGTTCTATTGGAGGAGGATCTATTTAAGGATTTCTGCATGACAATCCAATTAAAACAAACTCAATAAACTTCTAATCTCCCTCAAGGCGGCAGGAACAGCTGTTGCTGCTGCTGACTTGAGACTTGAGGTTCCAAAGAGAAGCTGTTGCCACTACTATCGTTTGAGTTTTTCAGACCACTAAGTAACTGGGGTTGGAGAAAGCTTATTCACATAACGCTCATACCTCGTGATTACAGATGTTGAACAGCGTGTAGGTTAGGGATTGTTAGGACTGTCCCTGTTAAACAGCCCAATAAATAATAAACCCTGTATACTTGTGTTTGTGAAAACCAGGACATGGACACATCCGGGTTTATGTTACTTGGATGTGCAAACACGTAAAACAAAAGTGAAAATCAAATTTAGGTTTCGGGTGTGATCTCCACCACTCAGAAGTGTTGTGGCAAAACCAGAGTCACCTCCAAACTGTCTCAAATATCAGCGAACTCAGGTGTGATTCACATTTTTATGGTTTTGTTTAGTCAGCTCAGAGCACTTGAAGGTCAGAGAAAGAGTGAATGTGACACAAAGACGACACTAACGTACGTGAAGCACGAGGTGGGATGCGTTGACTTCTTCCTGTTTCCAACCTTCCTCATTGTCTAGTTGATACTAAAATGCACCAGGATAAAAATGCTGGTCTTCTGTCCTGGTCTCCTGTCCTTTACGACTTTTGTCTTGGTATAAGAACTTTGCACTACCTGCATTGGAACATGTTGCCAGGCTGCAATTACATACTGTGATTCATAAAGGACAGTGTTGTTGCTGGATAGTTGTGGGGAGATTTCTGACCTCAGACCATTGCATGTTTATTTGTAATCCAGTTGCCCGTTTCCCTGAATGTCCTACTTAGTATTTTAGGGTGGTATTGTCTATTAATGAGCCTTCCCATGGCTGATGGATGTTGGGAATCTCATCCATGACTGTGAGACAGACGGAGGGATGGACAGACGTACAGACAGAGAGGCAGAGCTGTGTTTGGACAGTAAACAGACTCCCAGTACAGAAAACACACAAAACAAAGGAGCAGAAGTTTCAGAACATTTCTGTTTATCTTTCCCCCATTGACGCCTCACCCTGGATGTGCTTCTGCGTGGGATTGTGTGTGTGTGTGTGTGTGTATGTGGCCATTGTAGTAAACGGTGTAATAAATACTAGCCAATCACAGGGACTTACCATAAGAGCTCCACCTGGACTTCCCTTCAGGTGTGTGTTTGCTTGTGTTTGTTTCCCAGCAGTCCGTTGCTCCTGAGGTCCTATAGTTTTCACACAGTAGGAAAGATGACAAAATTCCTCCAAAGTAAAAGACTTTTTGACGTAGCATGTGGAGTGTAAATTGGAGCGAATAATAATTTACAGTTTAACCAAAGACACCCTGGTGGAAAGACTCAGTACCCACCATGCCCTCAGTGGAACACTCAAATTGTTTGCAACAGCAAGACTGAAAAACATTTTGGAGTGAATGGGGCTCCTTGTCACAAGTTGTTCTTGCATCTTTGAGGAATTTAGACCTCAGTATTTTAAGGGTTTTGTGAACCTTCCATGTACATTTCTCAAAATTAAGTTGACATGATTTTGCTTTGCTCTAATATGTGTTTGGATGAGGACACAATTTAATTTTATCAGTTTAAAAAGGGACATACCCACTTATTATATCGTCAGACTGTTTTCACAGCTGCATTATGGGTGGTTAAGAGTTGAAACACAAATAAACTCCTGATAGGGTTTGCAAAAAGAACAAGTTTTAGTGCAAAAGGCAGAAAAGCACAAAAACTATGGCACAAAAAAACACTGTTTTTGACTGTTTGACTATTATTTATAAGTTATTCTGTAGTGTGAGTTTTGTAGAAAAATGTGAGCATGAGAACTTGAGTCACTGGAGGTCGGTTTCCAGCTGGTGACATGTTGCTCTTTACCTAGATGTATAGATATTTACAGTGACTGTAACATGTGTGTGTGTGTGTGTGTGTGTGTGCGTGTATGTGTGCGTGTGTGTGTGTGTACTGAGAACAGCTGTCTTTCATGTCACTATTTCTAGGACATATGTTTCTGCAGATGCCACAACATCATGAGCAAACATCCACTTGGATAAATAGATGTTGCAGCTGTTTTCTTGAGCTCAGACTGGTTGGTTGTAAACACACCAGTGAAAATATACTATACACACACTAAATGACTAAATATTTTAATTTTTGCTGTGTTTTTATATTTAAAATTTGTACTTTCAATAAACTATCTCAGCAAAAACAAATTCTCTTTTCTCTAAATTCGACCTTTAAACTATTATCTGCTTGAATCCTTCAGAAAGAGTCATCTTTTTTTGTCCTGTCCTCTCCTCCTCCCTCTTTGCAGAGGACTTTGCCACCAACTTTGAGAAAAATGTCGGCAGTGGTTCCCAGTCACTCTTTCCTCATTTCCCATGCCTCCTTTCTCTTCTATTCTCACTGACCTTCAACAGAAACCGTTCTTCACTTGTTTCTGCTAGCAGAGCTATGGCACAACTATTTGACCTTAACCTTTTCTCCTAACCTTTTTCTCCCCAACACCAATCAGATCTTATTTACTTGATTGTTTGAAACAGGCTTTTTATTATTGTGTATTGCACTTTTTGTATTTTGTATGCCAGTCCTTGTGATAGTCAGCCCATTAGCGTTCCTGACATTGTGACATTACAATTCAAAGTCAGCAGGAAGATCTATAGGTTGACGTAGTCATTGTGTATCCAATAAGTGTGTGATGCCCTGTCCTTTTGTTGTGCTGTGAGATCAGCAAAATCCATTGTTAAGCTTTTTTTTTTTTAAATCAATAAGTCTTTAGAAATAGTGTGTCTGAAACCCAATTTGACATTCTCTCGTTCTGTCTCCGCCTGTAAATACATGAATAATGTGACTATGGTTGTCTCAACATAAGTTTGTTCCAGTGTGGTGCTACATAAATGCAAACTTACTAATTATTTAGTTTAAGACTTCACTAAAGAGTACTTAAGACTTATGTCTCTCTTTCAGATTGTCCTTCCTGCCAAACCGGAGCTACAGCGACAACGGGCGGACGATACTGGCCAACGAGCAGGAGTCCCAGGACTCTCTTGGAACGCTATGAGGAGGACATTACATTGACAGAGCTGTAATATTAAGCATGAGGACCTTTGAGTTCTAAGCCTCTGTGATCTCAACAGTCTGCTGTGATCCAACCTGACTGGTCCGTTTATGAGGATGTTGTCTTACCTGGATATTCAATGTGTGATAAAGCATCATCATTTTATGTGACTTATATATATATATATATATATATATATATAAAATATGTTGATGTTGTCCAGGGCAATTCAAAAATTAGTGGCACTACTGCTGGTCATAAGCCAAGGACAGAAAAAAATGCCCCCCGATTAAAGCATATTGGTGCAGAAGTACTGAGAGTATTTGTGTCCATGGACTGAAAAACACTGACAATATGTTTCCAGTTCTGCTCTCATTCTGAAATCTGTGAAAGAATTGTTCTTCTCAGTCCAACATCTGGATCATAGGATGCGAAGATCAAGTCAGGGGGTCTAGAAAACGATGGCAAACTACAAGCCAAACTGTGGCCAACAAGCTGGAAGAAGAAAGAGGTCTCATCTGCATTTTACCCTCTCTGATGACATTCCATCATACTGTAAAACTGGCATCCTCTGGCGCCATGTTAGGAAGGAAAAACAAGGTATGACAGAGCTATCTGCCAGCTGGTCACAGAGGTGACTGCAGGTCTTTTCAGTTAAAGACATTGTATTGTATACTTACCTTTTAGCAGCATCAGTTGTCTTCAATAGGACTCTCCAACAAAGACAGCACTCTGAAACTGCTGGATTCAACACATTATTTGTATCCGTCAATTACTATTTTAAAATAGCTATAAACAAAACACCAAAGACTGAGCATGTGGAAACAGAAAAAAATTCACAGAGGCATTTTGTGATGAAATAAAAATGTTTGAATTGGGATGAAACACAAACCAACCTTACCTTTTCACGCCACATAAAATAAAGTTTCCAATCTGTTGCATCTCTGACCACATCCAACAGTGGTGTCATGTTGTAGTGCAGTTCTATGTCACTGCAGCAAGGTGGAAATTTTAATTGCCAGTGTTAAAACCAGTCTTTATGGACATCACTATCATAATCCTGCAAGAAGTGACACATGCAAGAATTTACTTTTTTTTGTAAAGTAATAAGAGGATTTTGTTCCAAAGCACTGAACGTACATTCAAACAGACTCGCTACCATATTCGTATCTCAAATAGTAAACGTCTCTTCTGACAAAAACAAATAAATTAGTCTCGCATAGCCAAATCTTCATCAAAACTTATAGGCAGGGGAAGCGGAAAGGGAGGAGAATGCCACCTGGAATAGACAACCAATGGGAGGCTTATACCTACAGTCTACAGCTGGTCAGACTGTGTCTGATTAACAGCCTGTGAAATGAGCACAGTGTCATTATGAAATGTGACATGATTAAAAACATTACAAATTCAGCAACATATTTTGGCATGATATGATACTGATATGATGATGTCAATATCATGTGATATTTTTGTTGGCAAAAATTAGAAAATTTGCAAATAGGCAAAATATTTTCTCCTGAATATTCACATCTTTGTGGATTTTTTTTTCTTATTTTTCAATCCCATGAAAATTATAAGGCTGACAATGTTCTGTCTTTCCTTATTGATTACAAATGCAACGAAACAATCAAAACCCAAAATGCGTCAGTCCATCTCTCAACACTTTGTATCTTCACTCACCTCTCACAAATAATTTCCGAAAGCAGCTGGGTACTAGTGACAAGTTCACATTACTCAGAGTGAAATAAAATGTCTCCATAAAATAGATTTGACTCACTTTCAGTGTTTGATGCTCAGTTTACATATCTGAACTCTCTCGCTCTCTGTCTGTCACAACACCTTTAGGTGATCAACACTGAGGTGTGACACCAGTTCAGCCGCCTACTTTGTCATCACTGATATCTACATCTTCATTTCAGTTTCTTTCTGCATCGCTGCCTCAGAAAACAACAGTTAACTCATTGTTTTTAGGTACAACCTCAAAGTCCAGCTTCAAAGATGAAGAGCTAAATGAATGTCTTGTTACTATGTGACAACCTAATAGTCCACTGTGCTCCATATTTTATGTTTATTGTGAGGAGATGATAAATAAACGGAGAATTTGACAATGTTTTGTGTAAACTGATTAATAATTCATACTTATTTTTTAAGTATGAATAATTGTAATATTGTACTTATTCCTTACAGTAGTACTGGTGGCCAAGCTAAGGCCATCCAAAGCAATGTGACATATATTACACGTCATGTGATGTAAGCCCAATATTCACCCTCTTTCAGCTCAGTTTTGGTCTCCAGTGGCTCTTTAGCTGCTAAATGCTCCATTATATTCACCAGTTAGTCTCTTACTTTGTTTGTCTATTGTTTCATGCTGGGCAGGTAAGTGTACAGTCAGTTTATCAGAACTTCTTTCTCTTTTTTTTTTTTTTTTTACTGAGAACAGCTGTCTGCCACTGCTGGAAACTATAGTGGTGAGAGCTGAGACAGTGAGCCATAACAGTAAAGTTGTGGGCTGTAAAACCCTTTTAACATTAAACATAACACTTGCGTATATTGATTAAGGCAACTTTAAGGTTTCTTTTTTTATTTAAAAGGGGACACAACACCCCATAACACAACAAAATGTAAACTTGGATGGTCATTATTGATGTTGGAAAAAGCAGTTTTATCTCATGATTCACTTAATTGTTTAGCTTTCAGCCACAGTCATGGTCCTCATCAGCACATGAAGAAAGTTTAAACCATCTCCATGCCAACTAAAACCAAACAAAGAATGTGGTAAGAATTCTTTATCAAACAAAACTGGTTTCAGCATATTTTTCTGAGCAGATATCAGTATTTTACCTGTGTGCAGCTGAGCTCTACAGTCTCTCTTAGTCAAAACATAATGACAGTTACAGCATCTCAAAGAATTATTGGTGGACAAAATCTTCTTTCTACATGCAGTTAGTTAATACTAGCTTACTTCAGTAGAAAGTACTTTCTGAAAAATAAAGAACAGGGCCTCACCCTCCTGCATATTACAAAAAAGAAATTACTAAATAACATATAAAGCAAAACATGTCGAGAAATTTATACAGTGGAAACACGGACCCCCAAAATTCAACTTGTAGCCACCTGGAAGCTCCACTGCCCAACCCGTGTCACATATGTTAAATACTCACATCTCTTTTTTAAGTAAATACATTCTCCTCCATTTTAGGTAAGTAGATTGCCAATTTTGTCTTTGCTCTTCTGTTGAAGATTAACACATTAATAACTTGGGCTCTGTGATGTGCTCCTATAAGGCAACATCAAGCACGGACTAATATTATTCTGTGTGGGCCTGAAACACATTTTTAACAAGCTTTTATTATTGTTGGCGGTGGCAGGCGGCAATTACACACAAAGCCCCTCATCAGGAATCCTATTTGGAACCGCAAACACGATTATCCCCAATCATTCCCTCCCCCGCTGAAAACGATCTTTGAGCTGATTTGATGGGGTTGATTGGCATGGACCCTGACTCTGTGGGCCATTAACCAATCAGAGAAAATCCAGAGGAGGAATTCATTACTCTGTGAGCCCTCTCAAAACTCACAGACTCCAACACAATCTCTCTGGGCTTACATCCTGTCGAAAGCATGAAGATCTCAAAGCATTGTCTCATAGCAAAGCAGTGCCAGAGCTGGACCTGGGTTTTCTAAAAGCATCTTGGCTCTAAGGCTAATCTGAGGGTAACGTAAAATTATTTTTAACCCCATGGCCCACAGAAACAGTATTTTATCCTTCTATGTGCCCCTAGAAACTAGTCATGTAAGCTGCAACAGGAGATGTTATTTGTACCATGTGAACCTCCCAGCCTAATCTGTTTTCCAACAGATATGTCTGGTGAAAAAAACTATTTGCCCCAAGATTTTAATGTGTTTGTATTATGTCTTTCCAGGGTAAGAGGTAAAGGGTCAGCGTCAGCATCAGAGCAGTATCCCTGAGCCTAGCCACGTTCAGGACTGTCTCATCCACTGTGTGGGAGACAGTCCAAGGTGGTTACCATAGAAGAGCTTTGGGAAGCAGTTGTGCTCTTTACTGGAGTTGGGGAAGTTGACAGGATGTGTATTTGCCAAGTCAATAACTTCATCCTTACAATTCTTTCAGTTGAAAAATAAATAAATAAAGTATAAATCTAACCTTTGTGTCATTTGTCCAAGTAAGTAAAAAAGCTTCATTACATGGCACCTCATAGCTAGGAGGAAATACTTTTACATCCATTGATTTAGCCACTACAGTCAGTCACAATCAACTGTGTTGACACATCTTGCTTGCAAATGTGTAACCATCATTGCAATGATGGAAATAATGTAAGAAACAACAAATAGCATCGACTTTAAATGGCTGTGGCTGATCACTTATCAGACTGCAGAGAGGAGGACAGCAGCAAAAGCTGGTGTAATGTCAGCTCTAACTTAGCTGCTTGTCTCCATAAGACCACTAGGTGTAGCTGCAACAATAGCAAAGTTGCAGCAGTGGGTCTATTTCACAGGACACATTTTGATGAACAGAAGGAAGGGAGGAAAATTCATTTGTTTAGCACATTATCATACACAGAGGTCATCCAATGTGCTTAAGAGGAATAAAGGCATACATGTATAAGTAAAAAGTATAATAGGATAACAGTATAAAAAATGGATTGGAAAGTAGATAATAAAGAAAGTTTCAACTCTCATTTAACTAGTCAACTGTGTATTTACAATATGTGAACGAAAAAGAAAACAATTTCCATTCAAATAACAGAGGTAGCCTAAAAATAAATAAATAAATTATCAAACCCATGACTAACGGACCTCACTTCTTTCATAGAAAACCTCATCAAGACACCAGACATTCTCACACATTTCTAAATCATTCATCATACTGTAGTAGTTATAATCAATGTTGAACCTAGCTTTTATCATTCTGATGAAAACTGTTATTGCATTGCAGTCTGCTGATCCAACCAGTTTTTTCTCCAACACGTGCTCTCACAGTAGAGTGGCGAAGTACCACAGGTGGTTACTGACCATCTTGCTGGCACTAAGGCAGTCTCTTTGTCACATTTTTGACAGTGTGCCACCACAGAACATATTCATGCTTGATTTTTTTTCCCCATACTCT